CATGATATATATATGATATATATATATAGCTATATATATATAGTGATATATAGTGTATATATATATATATATACACTACATTGTCTTGATCAATTCATCTGTTTTGGGGTGCTTAGGTTGTATCATATCTCAGCTATTATAAGTAGTGTTGCAGTAAACACAAAAGTGCAGGCTTCCTTTCAAATTAATATTTTTTGTGTACTTTGAGTAGATTCCTTGGAGTGGAATTGTTGGATCATATGGTAGATACATTTTTAGTAATTTGAGGGACCTCCACACAGATTTCCATCGTGGTTGGACCAAACTTCATTCCCAGTAGCAGTGTAAGAGGATTGCTTTTTCTCCACATCCTTGCCAGCATTTGTTAATGCCAGTTTTTTTAATATGAGCTATTCTCAAGAGGTATGAGCTGATATCTTATTGTGGTTTTGATTTGCATTTCCCTAGCTATAAGTGATATTGAAAATTTTTTCATATACCTATTGGATACTTGCATTTCCTCTTTGGAGAAATGTCTTTTTAGCTCTTCTGCCCATTTTTTATAAAATAAATTTTATTTTTATATTCCCCATACAATTGCAACCCCCTTATTTTGACCCCAATCACTCCCCTCCTTGCCCCCCACCCCCCATAGAGTGTCTCTGGTTCATAGTTTTTTTGTTGATTTTGATTTTCACATTCTTATAGTTATTCATTTTCCTGGTCCCTTATTTAAGTTTTCTAGATTCCTGCTATGAGTGAGACCATCCGGTATTTTTCTTTTTCTTTCTGGCTTATTTCGCTGAGCATGATACCTTCCGGTGCCATCCATGTCTCTGCAAATTGCATTTGTTTATCTTTTTTGAATGCTGAGTAATATTCCATGGTGTATATGTACCACATCTTCTTGATCCAGTCATCTATTTCTGGGCATTTGGGTTGTTTCCAAAGCTTAGCGATAGTAAATTGTGCTGCTATAAACATAGGGGTGCAGGTGCTCCTTGGAATTGATGTTTCTGTGTCCTTTGGGTAAATATTCTGGATCATATGGAAGCTCTATGTTTAGTGGGTCCAGAAATCTCCACACAGCTCTCCATAGTGGTTGGACCAGTTTGCACTCCCACCAGCAGTGCAGGAGAGTTCCTTTTTCTCCACATCCTCACCAACATTTGTTGTTGGTAGTTTTTTTTAATATGTGCCATTCTCACTGGTGTAAGATGGTATCTCATGGTAGTTTTGATTTGCATTTCCCTGATTACAAGTGATGTTGAACATTTTTTCATATGCCTGTTGGCCATTTGCATTTCCTCTTCAGAGAAGTTTCTTTTTAGCTCTTCTGCCCATTTTTTGACTGGATTATTTTCTTTGTTGTTGTTGAGTCTCATCAGCTCTTTGCAGATTTTTGTGATCAGTCCTTTATCATTAGTGTTGTATGCAAAAATGTTCTCCCAGTTGGTGGGGTTTCTCTTTGTTTTGGTTATTGTCTCTTTTGCTATGCAGAAGCTCTTTAATTTGATGTAGTCTCAGCTGTTTATCTTTGCCTTCACTATCACTTCTTTGGGTGATGTGTCTGTAAAGATGTCTTTGATGTGCATATCACGTAGTGTTTCGCCTATATTTCCTTCTATGTATTTTATGGTTTCAGGTCTTATGTCTAGTTCTTTAATCCATTTTGAGTTGATTTTTGTGTATAGTGTGAGGTAGTGGTCAAGCTTCATTCTTTTGCATGTAGCAACCCAGTTTTCCCAGCACCATTTATTGAACAAACTTTCTTTGCTCCAATGCATAGTCTTTGCTCCTTTGTCAAAGATTAGTTGACCATAAATCTGTGGGTTTATTTCTGGATTTTCTATTCGATTCCATTGGTCTGTGTGTCTGTTCTTGTTCCAATACCATGCAGTTTTGATGATTATGGATTTGTAGTATAGTTTGAAGTCTGGGCGTGTGATGCCTCCATTTCCTTCTTTTTTTTTCAGGAGAGCTTTGGCTATTCGGAGTTTTTGGTGATTCCATATGAATTTCATCAAGAATTGTTCTATTTCTTTGAAGAATGACATTGAAATTTTTATTGGAATAGCATTGAATCTGTATATTGCTTTTGGTAGGATGGCCATTTTGATGATGTTTATTCTTCCAATCCATGAGCAGGGGATGTCTTTCCATTTCTTTGTGTCTTCTTCTATTTCTTTTAACAGTGTTTTCTAGTTTTCTTTGTATAGGTCCTTTACCTCTTTTGTTAGATTTATTCCCAAGTATTTGATTTTTTTTGTTTCGATAATAAACTGGATGGTTTTTTGGATTGCAAGGAGTACAAATATTTTCTTCCATTCAGTAGGGTGTCTCTTCATTTTATTTACAGTCTCTTTCACTTTACAGAAGCTTTTTAGTTTGATGTAGTCTTAGCTGCTTTTCTTTTCCTTCCTGCAGATGAGTCCTCAAAGATATTTCTGAGCTGTGTATCATATAGAGTTTTGCCTATGTTTTCTTCTATATATTTTATTGTTTCAAGCCTTACATTCAAGTCTTTTTTCTACTTTGAGTTGGTTTTTGTGCATGGTATGAGTTAGTAGTCATAGTTTCATTTTTTTTGCATGTAGCAGTCCAGTTTTCCCAGCACCCTTTATTGAAGAAACTAGCCTTATTCCAGTGTATATTCTTTACTCCCAGGTCATAGATTAGTTGACCATATATGTGTGACTTTATTTCTGGGTTTTCAATATGATTCCATTGGTCTCTGTGTCTGTTTTTGTTCCAGTGCCATGTTGTTTTAACTATTATGACTTTGTAGTACAGTTTGTAGTTTGGGAGTATAATACCTCCATTCTTCCTCTTTTTAGTCAGAAGAGCTTTGGCTATTTGAGGCTTTTTGTGGTTCCATATAAATGTAATCAATATTTTTTTCACTTCTTTGATTTTTATCGGAATTGCATTGAATTTAAATTGATCTTGGTAAAATTGCCATTTTGTTAATGTTAATTCTTCCAATGCATGAGCAGGTAATGGCTTTCCATTTCTTTGTGTCTTCTATTTCTTTTAACAATGTTTTGTAATTTTGTTTGTATAAGTCTTTCACATCCTTTGTTTGATTTATTCCCAGATATTTAATTGTGTTTGGTATAATTGTAAATGGGATGATTTTCTTAATTTCTTCTTCTTCAGACTGATTGTTTGCACATAGGAAGGCTAGTGAATTTTGTATGTTGACTTTGTAACCTGCTATTTTACTGAACTGGTTTATTGTTTTAATTAGTTTTTCTGTGGAGTTTTTAAGAATCTCTCTATATATTATCATATCATCTGCAAATAGTGATAATTTTACTTCTTTCCCTATGGATTACTTATCTGCCTTTCTCTTGCCTAATATCTCTAGCTAGGACTTCCAGTATAAAATTGAAAAGCAGTGGTAAGGGTAGACATCCTTGTCTTTTTCCAGTTCTTAAGGGAAAGGCTTTCAGTTTTGCATCATTAAGAATGATGTTAGCTGTGGGTTTGTCATATATGGCATTTATTATGTTAAGGTATGTTCCTTCTATTCCAAGAATTTTGAGGACCTTCATCATAAATGGATGTTGAACTTTATCAAATGTGTTCTTAGCTTCTATTGACATGATCATATGGTTTTTATTTTTCTTTTTATTGATGTGTTGAATTACATTAATTGATTTTTAGATGTTAAACCATCCTGTGCCCGGAATAAATCCCACTTGGTCATGGTGTATTATCCTTTTGATGTGTTGTTGGATTTGGTTTGCTAGGATTTTAGATTTGGTTTGCTAGTATTTTGTTGAGAATTTTTGCATCTGTATTCATTAGGGAAATTGGCCTGTAGTTTCTTTTTTTGTGTGTTGTCTTTGTTTTTGGTATTAGTGTAATGTTGGCTTCATAAAATGTATTTGGTAGTATTCCTTCTTTTTCAATTTTTTGAAAGAGTTTTTGTAGGATAGGCACCATTTCTTCTTTGAACAGTTGCTAGAACACATTTTACATACATATTTTAATTACTGCAGGTAAAGAAGTCTGCTTGGTCTTTTTAGAGTTGGATCATGTTGACTTCTGAAATAGATGAGTTTCTCTCTCTCATTCTCTCTTTCCCTCTCTCTTCACACACATACAGACACACAAACACCACAACTATACACATATTTTCTTAATAAACAGCTATTTAAAAGAACAGTATGTGGCCCTCCCCAGTGGCTCAGCGGTTGAGCGCAGCCTCTGCAGCACTGGTTCAATCCCTGGCTGCCAGGCGAGGGTCCCATATGTTGCGCAGACCTCTCCAGCCGCCTGCTGCTCCCCTCAGCAGTGTACTTCCTCAGTCTGCCTGCTCTGCTCTTCGCTCTGACTCTGGTGAATTCTCTCACCCTCCTGTGATTCTGGCTGTGCCCAGTGCTTGTATAAATAAATAAATCTTTAAAAAAATAAAAAATAAAATTATGATACTTTGTTCATAATGGATTTTAAAAAAATAAAAGAACAGCATGAAACATTTAAGAATTTCAGAAATATGAGAACCAAAACCATCTATTCTACCACCACCCTTAATTTTGATGACACAATTATGAATTTGATATCATTGAATGTAGGTAAATTCTTAAGATAGAGAAAGGAGTGGTGAGTCCCTTATACAACAATCAAAATACTAGTTTTGTTTTGTTTTTTATAGGAGCAACACTATATTTCCCCAAGAGGGGCTGTTTCAAGATGTCTATACTCCAAGTTACTTCCTGCCAGTGAAAGACATTGCATTCCACTTGCTAATTCTTACCACACCCCTCTGTGTTACATGTGTACAAATATCATTGATACACATTCAGGGCTCAGGGCCAATGCAATGACTCTTTTACTTTTACATGGTATGGGATGCCTAGGAATGTTTGAATGCAAAACACAGGTAAGCAGGCTGGAATAGCTCTGAACACCTAACTCCATATTATTTAAAGCAAACCCTCAAATAAACAATAGATCTAATATGATAGTTAACACTCTCAGTAAATCTCTGATATCTATTAATTTTTTTTAAGCAGGTACATATGCAACTGGCATAGAATTGAAAACTCAAAATAAAACCACACATATATGGTCAACTGATCTATGACAAAGGAGCGAAGAATATACACTGGAACAAGGAAAACCTCTTCAATAAATGGTGCTGGGAAAGTGGATTGCCACATGCAAAAGAACAAAACTGGACTACTATCTTATACCATGCACAAAAATCAACTCAAAGTGAATAAAAGAGTTGGATGTAAGACCTGAAATCATAAAATATATAGAAAAAACCAAAACACTCCATGACATAAACTTAAGAAACTCGAAGCAAGGAAAATTAAGGAGAATATAAACAGCTGGGACTATATCAAATTTAAAATCTTCTGTAGAGGAAGAGTACCCAAAGCAAAGATACTGAATGAGGCATCCATGAGAGGAAGGAGAGGGCAAGGTGATGGGGAGGAGTGAAAATGGAAAAAAAAAAAGAATAATGTAATTAATGTAATCAAGTATGCATGATTTTATATAATAAAGACTAAATATATCAACTAAATAAAAATGAGTTTAAATTTTTTGAAAAATCAACCATTTTTAAAATTACTTGCAGTAAAATGGCCACAAAATGAATGAATTTTGACATAAGTTTATACCCATGTAACAGCATCTAGAACAAGATGAGGACATTTCAAGCACCAAAAAAACTCTCATACCCTCTCCCAGGCAATAGACACCTCCACACACATCCAGAATGACTGTTTCTAATTTCTATCACCATAGAGAACATGATTTATTGTTGTTTTACCTGTTCTTGAAATTTATATAAATTAATTTATAAAGCATGTCTTTTTTTGTGTCTGTTCTTTCTCACTGAACATTATGTGTTGAATGCTGGCTCCGAAAATGTCACCAAAACAATCTGTTCATGAGACAGCTGGTACATTGCTTATTGCCATCGGGAGAACCACTTTGAAAGTGCTTTGGTAATGTGTTGGAGAAGAAGGAAAGAGCTGAATTTTAGATTTCAATTCTGGGTTAATATGAGACTTTGGATGTGAAGGCTTGAAATAGGATTGGTAAGGATTCTGATAAAATTTTTTAGGGTTGGACGGAACAGCAAACAAGGATTTTGAGATGAGGGGTTCAAAGACTTCTGTCAATGTTCTCTGTTAAAGAGATGCTGGATCCCTCAAGAAATTTCTTTAGTGAACAATAAAGTTATTTGCCTGAGCATGAGTCTTCTGGAATAGTTAAAATTATGCTTACAAAGATGTTGGCATAACAAAAGCATGATTAATGTAGACAGTGATCTATGGAAGAGTTTATGGTTTTAGTCCTCAGTGTCCAAGCTAGAAGCAGAGGGTAGGTGGTTTCAGTTGGAAATATTTTGTGGATTCATCTGTATTGCCTCACTTAGCAGAATTTAGCTTTTTTTCCCTTTGCTGTATGGTGTCTCAATAATACTTGAATATATTACTGTGTATTTACTCATTACTCTACTAACAGATGTTTGAGTTGTTTCCAGCGTTTGTATCGTAAACACATGTTTTATGAAGCATGTAAGAACTCACTGGGGTCGCCTTGTTAAGGAATCAAACTACCAAGGAATCTTTTGCTGTGCTTGATGTTAGCATTCCAGGGGGCCCAGGGTTACACGCCTCCCCCCACCTGGCATCTCCATGGCATACACATCTCTTCCAGCCAAGGTACTGTCAATCACTCACTGGTTCAGTATTTCTGGATTGCCCATTGTGTGCCCTGCATTGCACAAGGTACTGAAGACACAACCGTCAAAACCATTTTCCAAGGCAGTTCTTATCTATGTTGCTCATTAGCATATGATTAGGTCCTAGAACTATGCCTGGCTTGCATTAGTGCTCAATGATCAGGCAGCCACTGTGGCCTGTGGGGAAAATCTGGACAGCTGCCTGCTTTTGTGAAAAAGTTTTATGAGAATATGGTCATGTTTATTTGTTTATTTTGTTTTTAGTTTTGTTCCTGCTACAGTGACAGAGTTGAGTGTTATGACAGGAATGTAAGTCCTAAAAAACTGAAAAACCTTATCTGGCCCTTCACAGGAAAAGTTTGTTGACTTCTAATCTCAGTGATCATTTGCCTAGCTAAAAATTGATACTTCTACTACAATGGTTGAGGAGAAAAAAATGGCATTTTTGTTATTTTTAATCTTATTATAGGAATTTTCCAATGGAGTTTTCAAAAAAGGAAATGGACAGAGAAACAATAAGCCCAACTTACCTACCACCCAGAATGAATATTCGGGGAAATATTCAATTCCTCGTGTGCTGCTGAAACTGCCGCCCGCTGCTCCCCTCAGCAGTGTACTTTGGTCCTTCTGCCTGCTCTGCTCCCTACTCTGGCTCTGGTGAATTCTCTCACCCTCTCACGCTTCTGACTGTACGCAGTGCTTGTATAAATAAATAAATAAACAAACAAACAAATAAATAAATAAATAAATATTAAGGGAAAAAAAAAAGACTCACAAACTGGGGAGCCCCATTTAAAAATATATATAAATAAAGCACTACAAACTTTGTTGCTTAGAAAGACAGAAATTTTTTTTCTCACAGTTCTGGAGGCCAGAAGTCTGAAATTGAGCTGCCAGAATAGCTGTGCCCCCTCTGAGGGTGCCAGGGAAGGCAGCAGAACTCTCTCAGCATCTGGTAGCTTCAGGCGTACCCTGCCTTGTAGAGTAGATCTTCTCCCTGAATCTCTTCACATTGTCTTCCAATGTGCATGTCTGTCTCTGTGTCCAAATTTCATTTTTTTTTTTGTTTGAACACCAGTCATGTTGCTATTGCACTAGGGCCTGCCTTAATTATCTCATTTTAACATGATTACATTTGTGAAGGCCATAGTCCAAATTGGGTCACATTCTGAGGCACTGGGTGTTAGGACTTCACATCTTTTTTGGGGGGACAAATATTCAACCCATAATAGAGGAAGTAATAGCAATCTCTCTCTCTGACACTTTGTCTCCTAACCTAAACAGAAGTCCTTGAAAAAATCTGGGAAATAGTAAATACAATACAAATCTTCCTGAAGATTGATTACACACATTAATGTTTCATAAATTTTCAGACATCTTTTGGTAAAAATCTGTTTACATCAAAATTTTACAAATTATTTAATTGTCAAACTCTAGAACTGCAGGTTTTGAAAAGGGAAGAGCAGATGAGAAGAAAAGCACAGAGCTGGAAACATGTTTAGTTCATCAAAATACAATAGAAGATGTTTATTTTATATTTTTAAATTTATTTATTTATTCTTTTTCTTACAATGTTTGTTTCCTTTTCTCAGGTGCAGTCCCCATAGAATTTCCATCACCAATAGTCCCTTGTGCTCTTGCTGCCATCATTTTGATAACTTTCCTTTTCCCCTCCCCTGCAGAATGTCTCTGATTTATAGTTGTCTGCTTATTTTTGTTTTGTTTTGTTGTGGGTTTTTTTGTTGTTATTATTATTTTTTCCCTTGATTCCCTATATTCCTCCTATAAGTAAAGCCATCTGGTGTTTTTTCTTTTTTCTTATTTATTTATTTTTAAGATTTATTTTATATATATAAGAACCGGGGTACAGGACAGATGCGTGGGAGGATGAGAAGATTCACCAGAGACAGAGCGGGGAACAGAACAGGCAGACTGACAAAATACACTGCTGAGGGGAGCAGCGGGTGAGACAGGAGAGGTCTGCTCTTCATGTGGGTTGCTCCGAGGCTGGAGGGGATTGAAACGCCACTGCAGAGGCTGCCACAGCTTCACAGCACTGCACACTGCCTGTGCCACCAAGGAGGCCCTATTTTTCTTTTTCATTCTGACTTATTTCATTGAGCATAATCCCTTCAAACTCCATCCATGTTGCTGTGAATGGCATTAATTTATCTATTTTGATTGCTGAATAGTATTCCATTGTGTATATATACCATATCTTCTTGATCCAGTCATCTATTTTGGGGCATTTGGGTTGATTCCAGGTCTTATCTATTACAAATAGTGCTGCCATAAACATGGGGGTGCATGTTTCTTTTTTCTTTTTTTTTACTTTCTTTTTTGGGGGGTCAAGAATTTTATTTTATTTTTTTTAATATTTTATTTATGTATTTTCTACATCATTGTTCATTTGTGAACAATGTTTGCTCCCCCCCCCAGATGTAGTCCCCATAGAATTCCCTTCACCAATGAACCCATCTACCATCACCTCAGTCCCCTGTGCTCCTCCCTCCCTTCCTCTGATCCCTCTCCCTCCTCCCCCACTACAGGATGTCTCTGGTTTATAATTGTCTGCTTGTTTTTGTTTTGTTGTATTGTGCATGGATTCTTTTGAATTAATGTTTTTGTGTCCTTTGGGCAGAGCCACAGGAGTGGAATTGCTGGTTCATATGCTAGCTCAATTTTTAGTAATCTGAGGAGCCTCCACACAGCTTTCCATAGTTGTTCTAGTTTGCACTCCCACCAAGAAAGAGTTCCTTTTTCACCACATCTTTGCCAACATTTGTTGTTGCTAGTTTTTTTTAATATGTGCCATTCTTACTGGTGTAAGGTGGTATCTCATTGTGGATTTGATTTGCGTTTCCCTGATTATGAGGGATGTTGAGCATATTTTCATATGCCTGTTGGCCATTTGCATTTCCTCTTTGGAGAAGTGTCTTTTAAGTCCTTCTGCCCATTTCTTGATTTGATTGTTTAATTTGTTTTTGTTGAATCATGTGAGCTCTTTGTAGATCTTTGTGATCAGTCCCTTATCAGTTTATGGCATGCAAGAATTTTCTCCCAGTTAGTGGGGTGTCTCTTTGTTTTGGTTAATTGCTCTTTTGCTGTAGAGAAGCTCTTTAATTTGATGTAGTCCCATCTGTTCATCTTTTCCTTCACTATCTTTACTTTAGGTGATGTGTCTTTAAAGATATTACTGAGATGTATGTCATGTAGTGTTTTGCCTATATTTTCTTCTTTATATTTTATGTTTTCAGGTCTTATGTCTAATTGCTTGATCCATTCTGAGTTGATTTTTGTCCATGGTGTAAGTTAGTAGTCTAGCTTCATTCTTTTGCATGTAGCAGTCCAATTTTTCCAGCACCATTTATTGAACAAACTGTCTTTATTTCATTACATATTTTTTGTTCCTTTGTCAAAGGTTAGTTGTCCATAAATCTGTGGGATTGTTTCTGAATTTTCTATTCTACTCCATTGGTCTGTCTGTTTTCATTCCAGTACCATGGCTTTGTAGTATAATTTGAAGCCCAGGATTGTGGTACCACCATTCTCCTTTGTTTTATCAGGAGAGGTTTGGCTCTTTGAGGGTTTTTTTGTGGCTCCATATGAATTTCATCAATATTTGTTCTATTTCTTTGAAGACAGTCATTGAGATTTTTATTTGAATAGTGGTGAATCTGTAAATTGCTTTTGGTAGGATGGCCATTTTATTTTTTTAAATTTTTTTTATTTTTATATTCCCCATATAATTGCAACCCCCTTATTTTGACCTCAATCCCTCCTTTTCCCACCCCCCCATTGTGTT